GAGTAATGTTGTGGAAAAACTAGAATTTTAGGAAAGTATTTTCATTTGCCTTAATATACTTAAGAGTTAAAAAGGGAATGGTTTTGTAGCTCATATTTTGACTCTCAAATGTTACCTAGAATTTGAAATAAATGAATAGAATCATTAAATCTGAAAGTAAAATCCTTTTTCCCCTAAGAGATGCTGTCCTGTAACAAACAAGTTTAAGAAGAATTTAAATAATCAAAAGGTTGCAGAAAAATCTCCAATGTGCTGCAACTTTCAGAGTATGTCATGGAGAGAGTAGCCAGGGGAAGACATATAATCAAATTCGGAAATGGGACACAACTGCAAACAAGCGCAAGGTTAAAGTCCAGAATAAGTGAAAAACTGGAAGTAAAAAGACTTACCATGTACCTCTGTCTTTACACACACACACACACACATAAATCCACACTTCATAAATATACATACACATAAATGTACACATATAAGTACACGTATAGTATGAAAATATAGACATCTATACACACATACATATAAGTATATATCCACTGTAAGACAGATTTACATATACAACAAAGTTCACACACATGCGCTTAATGGAAAATTACATACAAATATATTTGAAAGAAAAGTTTTTCTTTCTGCATTAGGCAAAAATATTTTAACACAAGCAAAAACTCAAAAAAATAGGAACAAATGAAAATGTATTTTGTTATGGCACTTTTTTCCTATTAGGAAATATCTCAATTTGAACAGAAAAAGACTAAACGCTGAAAATCTTAACATTGAAATGCAAGTTACAGTTGATAAACTGTTTCCATGTGAACACCACCATTCAGGTTATATAGAAGTCATTGCCCTGATAACTGCGTCCAGTAATGGAAAAGACACCAGAGAAGAAAAAACTGGCCTTAAAAATTAGTGAAAAGGTAATTCCTAAGATTTTGTCTCTCAACCTAATATAGATTTTGAGCAGATCTTTTTAAACTAGAAAAAGCTTTGATTTTTACCTTTCATAGTAAAATAATTCATATATCTTAAAAAAGGTATCATCATTACTATTTGATAGGAACATTCAAGACACCTTATATTGATATGGTTTCTAGAATAATAGATTAGTCACAAGAACATAACTTCTTTTTTGGCAGATGTTAATATAATTTTACATGACATTCTTGTGCACAAAATAGCAATGGGTCGATGGTATTTGCAATTGGAAGTCCATTGTGATTTCTAAGGATGAAAATTTTGGTCAGTATTTTGTACAGACATATTCTTTTGCATACTCTTGATTTGAATAAAAAAAGAAAGAAATTTGTAAGTGTCTAATTTATGTCACTTCATTTTCAGCTTTACAGGGAGCTACAACAAAAGATTGCTGTGTTTTAAATTCTGATGAAAGTGCTCTTATTTCCCAGATACAGACTGGATTTTAACTCAGATGTGCACAAAGCTTCTATCATTTTTCCCAAGAAACAAAATACAAACCTCCCACATCTGTGGAAACAAAGCTGGAAAACTGATAAAAACATTGACTACAGAATCACAGCTTTAAAACTTTCACATCATGACTCAAAAGAACAGTTATAAAAGTTTAAAAAATCAATTAAACATGCAAATAATGGTAAATTGTATTTATGAGGAAATCATGCAACAAATATGAAATTTGAGCATGGGTGCTGTTACTCAATAATATGGTGATAAAAATTAATGTAATGCTTTATTGTACTAATGGATATGTTGGCAAGATAAAAGTATATAGAACTGTACTTCAGTTAGAGGGCCTGAACATCAAGTTTTTTGTTAATCATCGATGCCATGTTCTAAAGCAGAAGTGGATAAACCATAAATAGTAAATGAAATATTCCAAATGGACACTCAGAAGATTAAGTGGTTTAACTAACATTGTCATATATTAAATTTTGCAATGTTCATACAGTATGATTATACAACAGTTTTCTATACCAGCACAATAAAAATTCCAAAAAATTGTGGGTCTAGTAATAAATGGGATGTGCAAGTCACACAAGCATAGCTATATGAGAAGCAGATCAAATGACACAGCCTTTTTAGATTGTCTTTGAACCTGTAAAGTATGTACATTAGAAATTTCACAGGTGTATCATTTTTGGTAGAACTGAAATGGAGTTTGTATCAACTATATGTATTTTCATGTTCACATTTGTTATTACTGCTACATAGTATATATTCCATCAACATATTTTCAAAATTTTGTTGTGGTTGCACAAATTGTTCTTTTTTAAAATGAATACAAGAAGCCTGCCTTAAGAATTTCAAGTGATTTTTTTTAGTCAACTTAAATTATAGAAATCTGGGCATAATTTAAAGTATATTGTATTTTGTGCTTTGAATGTATTCATATTTTATTTCCATGACAGTTAATTAGTAGCTCTTTATGTCTCTTCCAAATTATTTTCTATGTATATTTCTGAGGAATAAAAATAAAAAAGGAATTTATACAAATATACACATACACTCAGGAACACGCATACCCATATTATTATTTCTGTCCTACACTAAGCTTACGTACAATAGAAATAGTAAAATGATTGGTTAGAGATTGTGTATGGTTTAAGGTAAAAACTGTTTTGGGCTGTATGCCTCTGAGTAAGATTATTCCAGCCACTAATAAGAACTATTTACTGGAGTTCTTAAATATAAGAAATACAACATTGGGACACATAAAGAATTGCTTATTCATATTTTCTTTTTGAAAGAGAAGCGTTAGTTGTACTTCTTGATCCCGAATAGAGAAACTTTCTTTGTCAAAGTCGGACATTTTTCTTATAAAGTGAATTCAATGTCAATATTGGAAAGCAAGTATGAAGGCATCACTGTAGATGATGTGACCAGCTCACCCAAACTGTTCAAGCAATGACAGAATCAACAAATGAATTGTGACCACTTGGAAGTCACATTAACATTTAGAAATATCTAGCAAATACCCAACATCACTGCTTTCCTCAGCAATTTTTCATGAAGCTTTTTTTCCAAAAGTTATCAGTTGTCAACACTGATTTCTGAAATCATTCCCTGAATGACATGTAAGTTTCCTTCTCACCTCCTGGATTCTTCCCAGTGGTTGGTATTATGTCTTTGGAACACAGCCTTGCACTTATCATCATTACTAGCAGGGAAAAATGTTATTTATCACTTCTGAGATACAATCCATTAATGAAATATCATGAGAAAAATTAAAAAAATAGAATAGTTGGACAGTCTGACATGCATACTTCTGATCAAAGAAAAGATAAATTTAGTGGCAGTGTACCCATTTTCTTGTGAATTTAAGACTTAGATGTGCCACAAAAGATTAATGTTTACTGTGTCATAAACGATTCATGTTTCTTCCAGTGCTATAGTAACTTAGTGTGAAAATACACAGTAGTTATACAAAATTAGTAACATTTCCTGAGTTTCTAATTTAACTATTTAGGAAAGAGTGAATAAAATTGTAAAAGGCTATAATCTTCTTTTTTTAAATATAGCATTCCAGGGAATTCTAACTAACTTGTTTCAGGATAGAAGGAAAAGCAGAAAGATTGCCAAATATTCTGCCTTGCAAATTATATGTGTTTGTGTGTATATGCAATCTATATTAACATGTATCTGAATTTTTCTGATAACATATATGAAGAACCCTCCATTTTTCTTAATAAATGGTTCCTTTTTGTTGTATAACCAGAAATGAAAATAATAAAACAAGCTCACTGAGGCCTTGAAACCTGTTCTAAAATATTGAATTATTATAACATATACATGTTTTAATAAAAGTGCTTTAATAAAAGTAGACTTGTCTTAATATTTGTGTGAAATTAAACAAAGGCAACATTTAGGACACTTTAGTATTATTCGGAAGCATGATGATACGATTTACAGAAGAATTATACAAATTATTCCAGGGAGTGTAACACTCAAACTAGCCAATAAAGAATAGTCATAAATTATGAGAATAAATTCTCACTATAAGGGAGAACATACTGTTTGGTTACCAGAACATGTAATCTGACATTTTGGCTTTGCTAAGAAATAACTCTGAGTGCATAAAAGTCAACTAATTTCTATGCTTACTCTTCTCTTCATAGGATATGCATTTAAATCGCCAAAAGTCATATGATAATTATAACATTGTCAACTATACGCATTGTATTAGAAAACTTAAAAAATATCAAAATTTTCTGCATATGCTGAAAATGCCTGTAAGAATGAACTAACAATAGATCTTTTCCAATTTCTTCTATAAATGCAAAGCACTTAATACAATGTGCAATTAGCAAACTTTGCTATTTTTTTTCCTTGTAAAAGGGAAACTGGATAAAGATTCCTTTCCACAGAAAATTTATTAATAATAATTGTTCAGTTAAATGTTTTTAAACAATGAACACCATTTCCTTTCACATAATCAGGGTGAGTTTTTAAGTCTTTTGCTTTGTTTTTCCATAACCCCACCAACAGGTACACACACACACACACACACACACACACACACACACACACACACACAGAATCTATTCTGAAGATACACCTTCTCCAACGAGGTATTCATTGCCAATAAATCCATTTACAATAAAATTGGACCAGATTATAATTATAACCAACTTCATATTCACACAGATGCTTAATAAAAGCTATCTGATGACACAGTGAATTCTGTTTTTGAAGAAGTGCATACAGTTGGCAAATTGTTTTTCATGAACCACCATCCAACAAACTAAATTCTCAATTCACATTTTTCACATCACTCTTGACAGTAAGTGGAAATCTGAAACTAACTTTAAAAACATGTATAAGTGAAAATAGTATTAGCCATTTGCTGGTATTCAATGTCAAGAGTTTAAACATAATTGTGTACTAGAGTAAAATTACGTTGACAATATAGAAATCAAAACTGTGAACTTCTTTAAAGCTACCTTAGCCTTTTCTTTCCCTCCCAAAGACAAATTTGGTAAAAGAGCAAAGTAGCAGAAAGGGAAGCCAGCTTCTGGTATTGGTTGTATTGATTTAATTGACTAAGATGTCCAGATGCTAATACTTCTGATGATCAGCCATTCCTTTTGTGTTTTGGTAACACGTATCCTCATACAAACAATATCAAATGGAATTTTCTGATTCACATCTGACATTTCAAAGTTTCCATTTTTGAATTCTCCAAGTCTTAAGTAATTATCACACTGTCTCATTTCTTTAGTAATATGAACGTGTTCCCCAACATCTAGGTCTCCATGATGCAAAATGTCATTTTGTCGATCTTCTGTTCCAGTATTCACTTTAATTTTTTTAATTACAATTGGAGTTTTAAAGACAATCACAAATACATCTCCAGTTGAAGGTGGTTTCCCCCAAAAGTATTCATCAACACTACTGTATGCCTTGCGTGCTTCATAATTTTCAAACACATTCATGTTGGTATATAGATTTGCAGGAGGATTATCTGGAATGTCGAATGATTCCTCCTCAAAATCATCATCCTTCAGTTTATTTTCAGTTCCTTTATATGATGAATAGTACCCCATGTGCTGAAAGAGAGATGGTTTAAAACGGATCACATTTTTCTGAGCCAAAAGATCACGGAAATGGGTCAAGAGCCAATCACAAGGCATTTCTTGATAAAACATTAATAAAAAATGTGCTAATCGTGGGAGATCATGAGAGTGATAGAGTTTACCTATATATCCCAGCTTAGAGAACTCAAGAGTTACCCAATAAGTTCCTTCTAGAGATGTAATGACTTTCTTGATGGCAGTTAAAAAATTTTTTGAACACTGGACATCATCTTCAAGCATTACGTAATAGTCTGAAGTATTAGCACAAAAATTAAGCAGAAAAGCATAATCTACATTTTGCTTGGAACGAAACTTGACTCTATCTTCTGGATCATTGTAATTTCTTTTTAGCCCATCCAGGATAGGGTAATATTCCTCTGGTGCATGTATAACCATTAGTCTTCCTGCAATAATATGGTGGGCAAACTTCTGTGTAATATCCTGGACCATGCTATCACGCCAAGATGAATTGAAATCTGCTAGATGGACCACTACTGAAATTTCTTGCAGTTCTTCATAGCTGGATTGCTCAAAAATCGATCTGATCGTCTCCAGTAAATAGTTCCCTTTCTTTCGTTTCACCGATGAAAGTCCAATTGTAAGATATCCTGAGAAAAAATAATAAGAAGGAAGAAAAATTAAGTGCTGGACAAGTTTTTGATAATATAAAAGATGATTAAAGGAGGTACCTTATTCGTGTAATTTCAGTGCATAATGATGTATAGTGAACATTGTAATTAAGAATTAAGCTTAACACATAAAGAGTATAGTATTTTATACACAGTTAATATTATAGCTGATTCTTTTTTTTAAATAAAGTTCATTGTAACCTGAATGCTGTCTGGACCCTACATTATTAAGGTATCTGCCAGATATTACTTTTGTGTTTCAATAAAAATCAGAGTTGTAAGCCCAGGTATTTAAACAAAATGTATAATCCTCAAATTTTTGACAGTGTGTGAAGAAATGTTTTTTTTTTTGTAACGAGAGTTTCTCAATAATGTAGTTATCTGTATTGAATCATTCATATTATACATATAAGCATTTCTCTATTTTTCAAAATATGTTTCAGGAATTTTATTCACAACTCAGTTATCTCATAACAAGAACTTTAAAACATAAAAATACATATACAGATGTGTGTCTGTGCCAGTGCTTATGCGTGTCTGTATGTATCTCTGAGGGTGGATCAGGTGTTGTGGCCTACCACATAAAGTCACAGTGTAAAACACTAGCTTGCCATATGGAGCACAAGTTCATGTCTTTGTTGCTCTGAGTCTTATCCAGTTCCTGAAATGTATATATATTGTGAATATATATAACATATATACATACATAATATATATTATATATCATATATATGCATATGTATGAATATATATTATATATCTCATATGTAAGATATACATATCATATATAGAGAGAGGGCAGAGGGAAAGAGAAAGTGAAAGCAGGGAAAGAGAGAGTGGGAGAGAGCACAGGAAGCAGTAGGGAAAGGAAGAGAAAGACAGAAGAGAGATAAATCTTCATTTGCTGGTTAGTCTTCTAATGACCACAATAACCAGGTATGGTCTAGGCCATTATCAGGAGCCTTGGTCTTGCACATGGATGGCAGGTACCCATCCATGGGGTAATTTTCTTCTTCTTCTTCTTCTTCTTTTTTAATATTTACTTATTTGAAAGGTAGAATTGCAGTCAGAGAAGAAAGGCAGAGACAAATGCAAAGAGGGGAATTTCCATCTGCCGATTCACTTTAAATGGCATCAATGACTATGGCTGATTTACACCCCGGATAAGTGTAATGGTCAGATTTGGGCTTATACAAAGCCAGGAGCCAGGAACTTATGCATGGTTTCCCATTTTGGTGCAAGGACTCAAATCACTGACCCACCTTCTGCTGCTTTCCCAGCCCATAAGTAGGGAGCTGGATCAGAAGTGGAGTACCTGGGACATGAACTCACACCCACAAGGGGTATAGGTGATGCAGGAAGATAAGCCAGGTAAGCCACCATGCTGCCCCTTGCATTCCCCAAAACTAGTTTATGTATTTTAAATTAGAGTCACAGAGAGAGACACAGAAATCGGTCTTCCATCATTGATCTATTCCCTTTGTCTTTTTTTTCAGCCACCTATTATTTATAATTTATTGCAGCAACTAACACTCTAACTTGACTTCATTCAAAACTGATGAAACTTCACAAAAGCCAAATCACCAGGATTTGAAAATATAACAGCGTAATAATTATTGTAAAAATGTTTTTAAATTTAACTTTCAAAATTTTAAATTATTTGGCTTTTTTTCATTGTCTACAAAAAAACTGTCAAAATGTTCACAATATTTCTTTTGATTCAATATTTTGTTACAAATTATACTAAAGTGTAACTCTAATTTGTGACGAAGCACTCCAGTCCTTCCCAAAGAATCTGATGGTAAGTTTCTTAACATTTTATTTCTTTACAAATAAAACAAGTAAGCATGATTTAAAGAAAATACTGTATGAATTTTTAAAATTTATTATTTTTTCTTTTTGTCAGAAAGTCAGATACAGAGAGGAGGAGAGACAGAGAGGAAGATCTTACATCCACTAATTCACTCCCCAAGCAGCCACAATGGCCAGAACTGTGCCGATCTAAAGCCAGGAGCCAGGAGTCTCCTTCACGTCTGCCACCTGCGTGCAGGGTCCCAAGGTTTTTGGCTGTCTTTATCTGCTTTTCTAGACCACAAGCAGGGAGCTAGATGGGAAGTGGGGCTGCTGGGATTAGAACCAGCACCCATATGGATCCTGGTGCACGTAAGGCAAGGACTTTAGCCACTAGACTATTGCACTGGGTTCAGAAAATACTGTATTTATTTTTAACTTAAGAGTTGTAAGGATACTCACGTTTTCTTTGTAAGGCTGTGGCAGTGAGGAAACGATAGGTGACATTTATAGTTCCTGAGAAATTGGATAAATCCTTAAAAGTGTGGACATAGCGTTCTGAATTTAGTTGATGTGTGGATGTTTCCCTTATAAGTTGTTTGTCTCCTTCCTAAATACCAAGAAAGAGAGAAAATAGAAAGTATGAATAGGTAGCCACAGATGAAATGTTTCTCCTCACACAAAAAATATATGGATGTACTACAAAATGCAGAGTGTGGCAAAATTCTCAAGAACCAGCACAATAAACTGTAAATCATCATCATTCACCCAATTCCTTACCAGGATGCATCCCTCCCTGGATATTCCTGCTGTTTTCATATTAAACTTTGAATTACAGTCATCAAATGATCCAAAAATTTGACAGTAGTCTTCTAACAGTTGCATCTGAGGCTGGTTCTTATGAAATTCCCCACATTATAGAGTGCTGCTGGTATATGTATTCTCCCTACGCATGGTAAGATATCATCAGTAGGAAGGAGTAGTAGTGGATATAAAACTTGGCTTCCTGATAATTTATTTTATAAAAATCATAAAGTCAGTGTAACTGAAAGCTTTAAAATGTTTTGCTTTGAAATGTCCTCAAAGTAACCTCACTTAGGAATTTTTCTGTTCCAAGTTTACAGAATGTGTTTTCAGAGCTTACATAAGGGTTTGTGATGATAGTATGCTTGTTTGTTTGTGTGTGTGTGTGTGTGTAGTATTTTATTGGAAATGAGATCTTGTTCTTCAAATTTGTAAGATTTCGATTTCCACTTGGTAGAAAAGTTTTCAAATCATTGAATCTTTAAGAAGCCTTATTTTTAAGAAAATAGATAGAACATATATAGAACTTCAGGTTAAGTATTGCTTGACATAAGCTCAAATGTGGGATATAAATTTATACTTACATGTATATTTATGTTTATGTTTACATGTATTTCAAAAATGGATCAACATACACATAGTAGATTGTGATTATCTTGCTAAAACATAAAATCTTTCTAGTTTCTACATTACTAGAAAAATAAAAATTTGAGTTGTCAAAAATTACTGTTAGTGTAGTATGTCTTGCACAATGCAATTACAAATAAATTATTTCTTTGTAGATATATTCTACTGTGCAATACCATGGATTACTTGCACTTCAATCTCTTTAATTACATGCAAACAGTTAACACAATAAGATAGGTAAACAAATGAAATAACTTTGATCCTGATAGCATTAAATTACTATTATTAAATTACTATTATTAACATAAGATACAAACACAAATTTTAGCATGAATGAAGTGTCTAGTACATTGCGTCAAACTCAAATAGGATGATTATATCAAGGTTCAAGTATACATTGATTTATTCATTGGAGCGAGAGAGGAGGGAGGGAGAGTTGGAGAGACAGAAAAAGAGGTGTATTCCATTCACTGGTTCACTTCCCAATGGTTTAACAGCAGAGCTAAGCAGGCCTGAAGTGAGGAGATGGTCTTGGGCCATCCTCCATCTCCTTCCTGGCTCCTTAGCAGGGAGCCGGGTAGGAAGTGGAGCAGTCAGGACTAAAATTGGCACCCAGAAGGGATGCCAGTGACACAGAGATTAGTCAGTTAACCCAGCACATTGGTACCGAGAGACATTTTCAATCTGCTGATTCACTCTCCAAATGGCTGCGAGAGGTTGGCAAGTCCTAAGCCAGAAATTCCATCTGGGTCATCCACATGAGTGGCTGGAACTGAATCAAACACTAAGGCCATCATCCTCTGACTTCTGGATAGGATACAGAGCAGCTGTGACGCAAACCAAACTCTGTAATGTAATGGGTATACCCGCATCACAAGGGTTTGTGCAGAGGGCTTAACTCCCTCTAATGCAATGCTGATCCTGATTAAATCAGACTCAAAATCAATAACCACACTGACGATTTCTTAGGATATGAATAGAAATTTATAATCAGCTCAACATCATTCTTACTAGGCTCCATTTCAATATCTTTCCTGTATCTCCAGTTGTGTTTGTTAATCTTCCTTGGTTCGTTAATGGTCTGCTTCCATAGTTTTAATATTTTTCTAATTGAAGAGATAAAAATATTTTTGCTTCTTGTGATATTTATAGTGCATTTGTTCTGTCAAAACTGCAGACTTTGAAAATACTTGCAATTCAACCTTACATTGTTCATTTCTTTTAAACAACACTGTTTGAATTGCTTTAAATTCTTTGCATGTAAATATTTTCACTCCTTTCTTGAGGAGAAATGTATACAACATAATGAAAACTTTAAAATGAACAAATTTAAGAAATTCTTTGTAGCATCGCCACATTTAATAGTATTCTAACAGTGTACTCAATCAATGGGGGCAAGCAGAAAATTTCCTTAAGTATCCCAGTAGTCACACTATTGAGTTCATTTTATTGCTCTGTTTTTATGTGATAATATACTCCACCAAAGTGTAGGATATCTTTTTAAAAAATTCTTTCCTGATCATGTAAAATGTAGAATCTGTATTAAGAGGGAGTACATTCATACTGATTGAGGGACATAACACAATATAAAAATGAAATGGAACTTGTATGAAAGCACTTTATTAAATTCTCAAGAACTAGCTTCTTTACACTTTCAGCATGAATAAATAATGCCACTTTCAACGAGTCAGTCTGGTTGGCTGCTTTCCAGAGCATCCATTTGAACAGCCAGGTTTTCCCTGGATACATTCTCTCTTAGCCACTACGCTGAATGAAGTGTGTTTCTCAGGAATAAGACAAAGCTTTATGATAATCATTTTTGGGATGGCAGTGCAATTCAATGGACTAGCTACAGACTAAATATATGCCTTAGTGGCTGCTTTGAAGATTGTCACAGCCCAGAGGCTAAGATGATTGGGCATGTGGCGTCTCTTGTGTTTAGTTTGTCTTGTACAGGTATTTATCTCTCATACAGAGCTTGGTTTCCTTTTCCTCTGAAAAGGCACATATGTATTTAATACATAAACAAATATATTAACATGTTATATGCCGTCCACAGATGGGATTACCAGCAAAGTGAACAAAACAAAAGATGCTAAGGCTCTTCAGAGTCCTTAATACTTCTTAGTGTTCATCTCATTTTTCTGAATTATAGGTACATGAACAAGAACATTCATGTGACATTATACACAGGCAATGTGGAAAATCAAGGTAGGGAAAATTGTGAAAATAAAAGTAGATTTAAAAAAATCAGGAAGGGAAGTGTATTAAAAGTAAACTGCATTATACCGCAGCAGGAGATCAGTTTCCCAGGCATATTCTGCATTTTAGGAGAAAATTTTTATGACATTTAACATTAATGGAGGAAAAAGTCACAAATATTCATACATATATCAAACCTTAAGATACAATTCAGCTCAACATTTAATTTAGTTAAAAATCATTTAGCAAATCATGAATATTTAAATAACAAATATATTGCCATGGAATTTATCAAAGGGAGGACTTCTGATATTTAATAATTGCTTTAACTCATTTTTCCAAGTTAGTATAGGTATTTAAAAATAAGCACCTTTTTTGCACCTGGACTAACTTGCAAATTTTCATTAAACACATGCCTAAGATGCTCAGAGAAATCTCACTAAGTGTTCTGTAGAAGAAATTTGTAGTAATAGTTTGTGCATTAGGAATAATGTTTGATATAACTCTGTAAACATTCACAAAACAGGGGAGTATTGGTTTTCTTAACATTTTATGGTGAATTTAAAAAGACAGTGTAACAAAAAATACATATGAGCATTTGTTGGATAGAATGGTCCTTTGGGTTGATTGAAAATGTTGACTACATCATAAATGAAATAAAACATTGCATTAAACAGTATTTAACTGGTTACATGTGTTCATTTTATAAGATTTGATTTAATTCTACTAGTAGAATTAAGAGAAATATTTTTATGACAAAATATTTTTATGATAAAATTGAATCTTTATTAACAGAATCTTTAAGTAACTATAATCTTTAATTCAATTGATAAAACATTGATATAATACATTATAGTACTTTCCCACTGTTTAACTTAAATGTATTAAAAATACATAATATTTTTAAGTTTTTCAACTTCATATTTGCCTATGCAATGTTTAGTCAAATTCTGTCAATTTATGATGACCTCAATCATCTTATACTGTTGTGGGAGATAGAATTAAATTATCCACAAAACCTGCAACTAAGAACTAGCAGTAATGAATGAATCGTCCATCAAAAGATTAATGATACATAAGCTGTGGTAATTCACTCCATGGAATACCACTTAGTCATTAAAGTGATTGAAATTTTACTTTTTGCAACATAATAATTCCAAATAGAGACCATTATGCTTAGTGAAATAAACCAATTCACAATTGGCAAATATCAAATGCTTTTTCTGATGTAAGGCAAAATTTATTATGCAAAATACAAAACAAACAGATACAGAGGCTTGCAGGTATATGCATATATTCTCATAGAAGAATTGTATAATGGATACTATCATACTAGGAAGTGCAGAAACACTGCAGTAGGTATCTTTATGCCAGAATAAGAGGAGGACTCCCAGTGAAACTGTTAAATATAATTTGAAAATACTCAATTTTTACCATTGCTTATACCTATAATGCCATGATATGCTTAAATAGCAGAATGCGGACTTGTGACTGTTGTTGAAGAACTATATTACTGTAATAACACGAGGGAAACACTGGAGGAGGGTGAAGTGGAGGTGGAGACGGGAATCTCTATACCTATAAAACTGAACCATGGAAAAAATAACAATTATAAATACCAACAAAATATTAAAGATCATAACAATAACAAAAATCTGAACAAATATGTTGGGCTCAATTCAGGAAGAGAAAGCAAATAAACGGAATTTTCCCCATTATCCAAAAAAGACATAATGACACAATACAACAAGAAAAGACAGACTAACAAATTATGCACATATAACATCATCGCCACTGAGGACCAGTCATGATCTTAATAAAACACTATTATATAACTTAACATTTATTTATTTGCTTAAATGAAATAGCAAAGCGATATTTTTAATAATGAAAATTTGAAAATTTAAAGATGTAGAAAAGCAGAAAAAATAATAAATAAAACTTCTAAACTAAAATTTGTGTATTTTATATATTCTAAATTAAAGCCCCCAAATCTTAATGCATTTACTTATTATTAATTCATTATGGTGATCTTGTCTAACTTACTTATAATTAGATGCACATATCTGAGTTGTAACATACATGGCATTAAAAATGTTGAAATGTAAATCAAAACAACAAGTGCAATGTTAGGAAAGTATAACTAATTTAAGAAATAGAAAAAAATACATATGTCAACTTTTTTCATGCTAAGGCTATTCAACAATCATGGTTTGAAGTGAGGTTACAAACAATACTAGTTCTAGTCTGACTAATACTTTTCTTCAAATAAAATAATCAGTACTCAAAACATACCAGGACATAGGTATCCTCAATGTACAAGTTCATAAATAGAAGGAAAATGACAAGAACTCCCAAGAATGATACCACAGAACGTTTTCGCAGGCATCTCATTTTATCCAGCACTTGAAAAATCGGCTTCATTTGAGGAAATTTAAACATCCTGTAAAAAAGAAGCAAATGATTACACTTGGCTTCAGATACAAATTTTATCCTCATCATATGTATAAAAAGCCAGACCTTTATAGAAACAATTCCACACTTCAAATGTTAAAAATACATTTTTTTTTTCAATTTCACACCTCAGGCTGATACATGATTGCACATGTTATACATTCCACGGAGCACAGTATCTATATATAGTAACATGAGGTAAATGCTGTGGTTTGTATTGATATAGACTGGAACAAAATAAAAAGCAAACCTTAGTGTTATTGACACCCTAAAATTAGCTTCCACAATAACAATATAAGAAAAAAACAGGACTTAATCTTATGTGAAATAAAGAAAGCATAGAAAGGTACATTCTCTATGTTCTCACATGTGTAAGCTAAAAACCACTTAGGAAGGATAGAGGGAAAGGGAGAAAGAGATCGCAAATGTTCAGTAAAAACAGAATAAATTCAGTAGAAATATGTAAAAAATTCTCAAATATTTGCACATAACCAAATTAAGAAATATCTGAAAGTAAATAACTCATGCTTCAAAGAAAAAAAATTAGAAATATATTGTGTACTGAATAAAATTGAAATTGATAACCTATCAAAATGTGGGTGATGCAGGCAGAGCTCTACTTTAATAGAAATAAACTATATTAACTGCTTACATAAGGGAAAAAAAATCTAAAATCTATTACCTGAATTTCTGAAGTAAGGAAAAGCAAACCAATCTAATAAACCGAAAAGATTCAAATAAGGAAATAACTTGGCAAAAACAAAACACAGAAAAGCTAAAGCAAAAGATTACAAAAGAGCAAAGATGAATGCACATGTGTATTTGGACCGTTGAAGCCACCAGTTGGGATACTGCCATCTCACACTGGAACTCCCACTAGGTTCTGGCCAACTTCCCGGTGATTTGGATCCTGGAGGGAGCAGTAATTGTTCAGGTGGTTGCATCTATGCCACCCATGTGGGAAACCTGGAAGGAATTCTTGGCTTTTGACTTTGGCGTTTTGAGGCACTGACTTCTCTTGAAAAGTAGGCCAGCAAATAAAACTCCCTTCTTCATCTTGTCTCTTCTTTTTCTTCCCACTCCCTCTCTCATACACATAGCCATTGATAAATATTAAAAATTAAAACTAGAAACAATAAAACTAAATTCTGTTTTAGCAATGGATAAAAAAATAAATTGTTTCTCCTCCAGCAAATTTGATCAAGAAAAAGAAAGGCGAAAGTATTATTGGTATTATAGATGAAGAGGTTACGGTGCTAAAGATTCTGTAGGCATTAATAGGCCAACTTAGGTTGTTTTTAAAAACATTAATTTTTTGGTAATATAGATAAAATGGATAAATTACTTGGAATTCATTAGTTACCTTAGAAATTAACCCAGCTCACTGAATAAATAGCTCATGTAATTTTATATCTATTAAATTTAATTTATAATTAAAAATAGTCCAAAAGAATACTCCAGGTCCAGATGGATCCCTTTGTTAGCTGTACAAAATATGTTCAAGAATAAAACAATATCAACTCTATAGAATCTCTTCCAGTGAGTAGAAGAATAAATAATTCACGTTCTCTGGATGTAGTGAAACATTTGAATCTTATTTGACAGCATTTTCACTCATTTAATGAATAATCATTAAGAGAAAATGTATAATAAACGAAGACAGTCAAGATGGCTTTGTATGGAAAAGAAACCTTGATTTTGACCACTTGAAGATACCAGAAGAATAGAAAAGTGCCTGCATTCCTAGGAGAGAGTTGGAGAGAGTTTTTTCTTTTCATTGTAAAATGTGTAAAAGAAGAGAATGGAACAGTACAGACAACACATAAATGCAGCAGCTAGTGGGGCATTACCTGTGACTTATGTGACTGGCAGGTGGAGGAGAGATGCCGTTTTATCAGAGTGGATTACTGGTGATCTGCTCTGAGGGAAAAGCACATGGTACCACTGACTTTGAGTTTGACCTGGAGAGCTGGCAGGTGCAGGGTGCTAACTTAGTCAACGGAAATGGCAGAGTGTTGCTTCTCTCCCATTCTGTCTCTAAAGCACTCCATTTCAGCTAGCCAAGGCAGAGAACCAACACACCTGTCAGGCACACAGTGTGCTCTAGGGATAGCAACCTGCCCCGTTGACAAGGGAAGCCCATAGTACAGAGAACAAGAATCCCTGTACCCTATGATACAGGGAGCTCTGAAACACGGTCCTGGGCGTGCTGTGACTGTGTTATCTACATAGGACAGGAAAGGCATAGGGAGAGGCTGGGTCTTTGGACAATCATTGGGTTCACCTCAGGAAGCTCACAACACCCTCACTGCTGGAAAGGGGGTTTTTCATAGTGATCTGGGCATACACAGTATCAAGGAGATACTTTGTGAAACCCCTTCACCTGAATGGGTGGGGTGCATAGGCACTGTGATCTCACACTGGGCAGTTTGTTCACTTCGGCTCAGAAAAGGGCTGAGGCTGTGGACACTTCAGCTTCCCCTGCCCTACAGGTGATGGAAGAGATCCGCCATGTTCAGCGTGGTGCCAGTATGGATTCTTGTCACACCCACAAATCTTGGCCAGTGTGTTCACCGGTTCCACTCAGCACAAATATCTGGACAACAGCTGTAACTGCCGGCATTCTACAAAGCCACAGAAGCACATTCCCAAGAACGAAGATTTAAGGGAGAGGAAACAGTGTTTGTCTATCTCCATTATCTATATCTATATCTATATCTATATCTATATCTATATCTATATCTATATATCTCTATCTATATATATGCAAACACAATAATGCTTCAATATTGACTGTGAAGATGAGGAGTGTGATACAATACCATAAGAGTGATTAAAAATAACGAGTGCAAGATTTCCCAAAAACATAGAGAAACAATCACACCAGTTAAATGCATATATGACACGGACTAGAAATTCCACAGGGGCTGGAGTGATGGTCGAACTGGATAATACTATGCCTGAGTACGGACATCCTACCTAGGTGCTAATGTGTATCTTGTCTGCTCCAATTCTCATGCAGCTCCCTGCTTTGCCTGGGAAAAGCAGAAAGAGGACCCAGCGCAACAGCGTAGTGGCTGAAGTCCTCCCTTGCACGCCCGGGATCCCCTATGGTGGCCAGTTCTAATCCTGGCGGCTCTGCTTCCCATTCAGCTCCCTGCCTGTGGCCTGGGAAAGCAGTCGAGGACAACCCAAAGTCTGGGGACTCTGCACCCGCGTTGGAAACCCAGAAGAGCTCCTGGCTCCTGGCTTTGGATCAGCGCAGCACCGGCCATTGAGGTCAGTTGGGGAGTTAATCATGAAACGAAAGATCTTCCTCTCTGTCTGTCCTCCTCTCTGTAATCTGCCTTCATAATAAAAATAATAATAATATTTTTTTTAAAAAAAGAAAAGAAAAGCAGAAAGGATGGTCCAAAGCCTTGGGACCCTTCCCCACTTGGAAAAACTTAGAAGTAGTTCCTGGCTCCTTGCTTTCCATAGGCTCAGCTCTGGCCGTTGCGGCCTTTTGGGGTGAAACAGCATGTGAAAGAGCTCTCTGTTTCTCCATCTCTTGGTGGATCTGTCTTCCCAACGAAAATAAATAAGTCACTATTAAAAAACAAAATTCCAACAGAAAGTAGGTATAAGGAAAAAAATCAAATATTAGAAATAAGCCATTAAACACATAAAAAAAAAACCCCACAGCAGAATGCCACAATAACAGACATGACAGGGCAGTGCATAGCATGTTTTAGCTAGAAGACAAATTTTTACAAATGTATCAGTTACACGAAGTTAGAACATGAGGAAAAGAAGGAGGAGGATGTTAAGAAATTAATTTAAAAGCTAAGAATAATGCTAAGAATTTAAGTGATATCATAAAATGATTTATTGAAGAAGTGAAATAATATTCAATAAAATCACATATTCAGTGAAATACTGGAATAAATTTTCCCTAATTTAGAGGATACGATAGTCAAGTACAGGAAGCACACTGAACCCCAAAAAGACATGATCAGAGAAGATTTCTACCATAAAACATTACAGTCAAACCTTCAAAAATGCAACATAAAGATCTTGAAATGTGCAGAAGAGAAATGCCAGGATAACTTTAAAGGATAATGCTTTTGATCTAGAAAAAAAATGATCCAAAAATTTGCATCAAAATACAAGAAACCCTGAATAGATAAAACAATCTCAAATAATAAAAGTAAAATTGGAGGCAACACAATGATGATTTCCAGACATGCTACAAAAAATTAATCATCAAAACAGCCTAATACTGACATAATAGACATATGAGCCAATGGAATGGCAGAAATATTGCACAAATTAATTTGTACATTCATGACCAACTGATCTTTGACAAATAAGCTAAAATAACTCCTTAAGCAAAAAGTACAGTCTCTACAATAAAATGGCTTTGGGAAAACTGAATCTCCACACACAGAGGAACGAATCAAGATTCATACATGAATCTTTTAAAAAATCAATCCATGTGGCATAACTCAATTGGATAATCCTCTTCCTTCAAGCAATGGCATCTCATATGGGTGCCAGTTCATGTCCCAGCTGCTCCACTTCCCCTACAACTCCTTGCTTATGGCCTGAGATCGCATAGGAGAATGCCTAAAGCCTTTGGATCCTGCTCCTATGTGGGAGACACGGAGGAAAACCCTTTCTTGGCTCCTAGATTTGGATCAGCTCAGCGCTGCCTTTCCAATAAAAATGAAAGACATCTTGAAATAAAAAAACTTTAAAAAAATGTTTTTAAAGACTTATTATTAATACAAAAATAAAATATTTAAGAAATAAAAATATTTTTAAAGATTTATTTATCACTAATAAAGTAAATCTTTAATAAAAGATTTATTTCTTTTTAATGGAAAAGAAGATAATACAGGGAAAGAAGAAAAGAGGGAGAGAGGTATTTCATTCACTGAGCACTCTCCAAATGGCCCCAAAGGCTGGAGCCAAGTGCTAGGCGCTTCTTTCCGATTCCCCCACAAGGA